AATACAAAGCTCAGTCATTAAAACTGCGATTTGGCGGAGACAGCCGCTGGCGCATGCCAGAGACGCAAGTGCTTTGCCTTCGCCTGATTAGGCCAGGCCCACCCAGGGTTAGCCCCTCTTTATGAACTACATTGACTGACTGGCAACTAATCATGAGTGATATGCCCTCAAATTCTCACCCACTCCTGGGGAGGGCTTGAGCAAGGGTGGGAACTCTGAAGCCAGTAGAAAATTCAGACTATCACCTTTCACCTAATCTGGGTCCTGCTTTTAAACATATAAAAAGACACCCCCGTTAAACGCCCTTGACCTGGCAGCCTGCCCCATCCCAGGAGCGGGAAGGGGTGAGGGGTGAGGATGCAGGCCAGAGTGTGCTCCATTTGTGCGTTCCTTCATTCATTAGCTCATTTATTCAAAAGGGTTCAAGAGGATCAAAATAGCCAAACCCTGCAACCCAAAGGAGGCAAGCTTTATCTTGGCTCCCAGATTGTGGGGATGTCGGTCCCTGGCCCACAGGCTCCAAGGCAGGGTGGTGTGGCAGCAGGGCACTGCAGCGGGGACCGTGGAGAGAGCGGCTCCGACAGAGTGAGTGCAGAGGCCGCCCAGCCCTTCCGGCCCGCTGCATGGACCCGGCTACCTGACCACAAGTCAGCTCTGCCCATGTTGGGCTCCCCGGGAAGCTCAGCAGGCTGGGGACATCCAGGTGGGCACCTCCACCAAGGGCTTGCTCTGTTGGGTGCGGAGGGTGCAGAGGTGAGCAAAACACACGCACGCACGCGGGTGGGGTGGGCGTGGCAGCAGATGATTATTTGTAAACATGGGCACATGTGCTGAGTCAGACGAGAGGAAGCGCAGCGTGCCCAGGCGTAGACGCGGCCCAACAGGGAGCTGCCAGGAGGAAGCGGGCACGATGCCCTGGGCCTCTAAGGGGCTGCTGGGAGCCACAGCCAGAGAAGGAAGAGGCTGACAGAGCAGAGCCTCAAGGGCAGGGCCAGAAGGCCTTCGACACACCCTGGCATCCAAGTGACCCATGCCCCAAGCGCCCAGATGCCCAGCAATGCCGGGCCTGCCCAGGCTCCCTGTGCAGCAGGCCACGGGCAGCCGCCTCCCTGTCCTGGGCCACTCAGAGCTGGTCCCATGCGAATCCCAGAAAATTCTCCTTGGAGTCAAGCTGTCCCCCGCCGTGTGGACCTGCTAGATCCGAGCCTGCTGCCAGCTGTGTCCCTCCCTCACAGGTCCCCATCCCTACACGCCTCTGGGGTCTCCTCCCAGGAAAGCTGTCTCCACGGGAACTGGTCTCAGGCTCTGCTGCCGGAGACCCCAAACCAGAACCTCCGAGGGGCTCTTGGGAAGACTGATGGGGGGGAAGCAGCCCAGAGCCTGGTCAGGAGGGCCGCTGCTAGGGCTTCAGGTCCCGGCTCAGGCTGAGACATCTCTTCCACACAGAAGTTGCAGAATGTCCCTGTGAGTTCTCCACCCCTCACCCCTCACCCCTCAGGGCCCTCCACACCCTGAGGACAGCGGCAGAGCAGAGCCGCCCACCCTCCTCCACACCCTGCCTGGAGGAGCCCTTCACAAGTCCTGAGGCTAGCCTGCCCACCACGGCCCTGGGTTCCTTGCCTCCACTGTCCCAAGTGGATGACTTCATCCCTTCCACCAGGGCGCGTGTAGCTGTGGGTGCAGGCGGCCCTGACACTGAGCAAGCAGGGGCCTTGAGCTGATTCCTCCTGCCCAGCGCACCCCCAGGTGGGCATGCAGGGCACGTGTTTGCAGAGGGGAGCACTGCCCGTGACTCTCGCCTGCTCTCGGGCGGAGTGTGCTCTTCCCTGATTCTGCACCAGGCCACTGGAGCTGTGGCCAGCGAAGGGGGCAGAAGCGACCCTGGCAGATCTCAGCTGCTCTCAGGTCCGGCTGAGCTCCTGGGCACCCTCCTGTCACAGGGCCAATTCCTGTGCCCAGGCAGCAGAGTGGAGCCGTGCAGAGCTGCTCCGAGGGGGCAGCCCCAAGCTACAGACCCCGCAGCAAGAGTTACAGAGCTGTGTTCGAGCCCCGTGTTAGAGAGCCTGCTCCACAGGGGCACTCAGCCATCGCCAGTTCCGTGGCTCTGGAGCCTAGGCCTCGAGGTGGGGGAGATGTGTGGGGCGTGGTCGGCTTGCTCTGCCACGTCCTGCTCTGTGGTGTGCTGGGGACACGTGCGCACATGGGAACACAGGTTTAGACAGGATGGAACCCAGCGGACGAGCCGCTTGCCAAGCACAGAGCAGGCTGCATCTGGGGTCCATGCCCAGCCCTGGGTAGGCAGGCGCCTCGGGCCCTTGTGCAGAGCCCGCCGTCCTCAGGCCAGCCAGGGCTTCTAGGAAGGAGACACCAGCCAGCCAGTGTTTGACTTGACCAGCGTCCGCAGGCGAGGGGAGAGGCTGCGTGAGCACAGCGGGCAGCATCTGACCACACTGCCTGCCGGCCTTGGCGAGGTGTCAGTCCCCACTGCATACCTCGTGGCCAGGAAACCAACGGAGCTCTGTGTGGAGCTTGTGGCCCGAGCTCAAGGACTCAGGCCTCCTGCTGCGCCCTTCTGGCCGTCCACACCAGCAGCACTTGAGCTCTGACGGATGGCGTGGGCTCTGGGCTGACCATCCCAGCCATGTCCAGTCCCTGGCTGTGACCCCAGGCCAGGGGCGCACCCGCCGGGCCTCAGCCTCC